CATTTGCCCAATGAGCTTTCACTCAAAGGTATTTGCATTCCCCCAAGTAGCATTTTCAAAGTTGAATCAAACAGGCCCGAAGTGCTGCACCAATTAATGGTTAGAAAATGGAAGGAAAAATTTTAGGCAATTTTGAAACTTTACATGCAAAAGGTGTATGATTGTGGAATGGGACTTTTTGGAAGCACGGACGAAGAAGATGGGCTTTTATGAGAAATGGGTATCCTTGGTCATGGCGCGTCAGTGTTGAATTCAATGAAGAACCACTAGATTTCTTCCAACCCACGAGAGGCATTCGACAAGGTGACCCTCTTTCTTCCTATTTATTCATTATACTGTCTAATGTTCTCTCTCACCTCCTAAACAAAGCAAACGAAAATGGCAATATTATAGGAATCAAGTTAAACAGGTTTTACCTTACCTTATCTCATATGTTTTTTTGCGGATGATGCCATGTTTTTTTTTGGATGGGAGGATTAAAGAACGTTAGAACTTAGCACAGTGTTGAATCAAAATTGTTATGCTTAGGGACAAGCTCTTAACTTAAACAAATCAGGAATTTTTTTAGTACGGATGCCCCAAAAATTTGAGTAGGAATATGGTTTTAGAACTTAGAATTCCAATGATCTATAAAATAGCAAAGTACTTGGGATTTCCCTCCGATTGGGGTCAAACAAAAGAAGCAAATGTTTATTTGGATCCTAGCAAAAGGGAATATGAAGTTGGAGGGTTGGAAAGAGAAGATGATATCCAAAGCAGGTAAGGAAACACCGATCAAGTCCGTTGTGCAAGCCTTGCCACGATGTGCCATGTCCATTTTCAAAATTCCATTCTCGATGTGTAGGGCAATCAAGCAAAGAATTTCCTCCTTCTGATGGAAGTAGAACGAATCAAAAGCTCGGCTGCATTGGAAGAAATGGGATACCCTCAAAACAAGGAGGGATAGTGGAGGGATGGGCTTCCATGACCTAATCTCTTTTAACGAGGCGATGTTGGGTAAATAGGCATAGAGACTTTCTCAAACTCCGTTGGCTCTTTGGAGTCGGTTGTTTAAAGGAATATATTTTTCCGAAGGAGATTTTTGGAATGCAAGGAAGGAATTGCGCCCGTCTTAGGTATGGCAAAGCATACTTTTGGCAGGGATTATATTTGTGAAGATATTAGATGGGCGGTGGGAAACGGAAAAAAGATTAAGATACGATATGACATGTAGCTGGAAATGGGAATCATTGGTGGATCGGCAAACCTTGATGAGCCCTAAAGAGTGGAGGAGCTGATCAATCAGGAGGAGAGGACCTGGAACGAGCAGAAATTGCGGACTCTCTTCGATGAGATCTTGGCTAGCGAAATTCTACCTATCCCCCTAAACAAAAACTTAAAGGAAGATCATTTGGTCTAAACAGCGAATAGAATCAGTAATTGCACAGTTAAAAGTGCCTATAGCAAGCTATATCCAGCAAACCTACAACAACAAACAACCTCAGCCTTACCGACCAAAAAAAAAAAAAACAACCTCAGCCTCCACTTCATTCCAAATTCTGAGATCCTTTTGGACAAAGTTATGGAGACTAAATACTTTCCCAAAAAAAAAAAAATTCTTTCCCAAAAATCCAAACCTTCCTATGGAGTGCCTGCCAAGATGCTCTACCCACTAGAGAAAATCTCTACAAGAGAAAGATCTTACCTGATCCCTTGTGTAACCAAGCGTTGAAACAATCGAGCATGTCTTCCTGATTTGTTCATAAACAGTAGCTATTTGGGTGGATTCGAGACTAAAGTTGCAATATTTAGGTTTACCCATTACTCGTCCGGATTTTTTTTTTTTTCTGTGGTCGAAATTACTCGCTGGATAAGTGGGTCTTATAGTGCTTTGAATCAAACGCAAACCTGCTGTCAAACAAGAAAATCGCAGGCATTCTATGGTTAATTTGGAAGGAGCGTAATGCCTACATCTTCCAATCACTCCAGCCGGACCTGAGCAGAACAATAGACCTCGCAATTACAGAGCAAGCCAGTTTCTTGCGGTGGAATCCCAGTTCAAAGAGGAAAGTGGAGCAAGCAAAATTGCTTATTCCAACTTGGTAGTCACTGGCGAGGGATTCTCTCAAAATCAATGTCAATTGTTCCAAATTGGAGGGCTGGTCGAACTCAACCATAGTTGGGGGGAGGGGGGGCTCAACTGTCTTCGCTTCGTGGAGGAAGAGCGCGAACGAGATGAGCTCCGTGCGGTGAAGGTGGAAGTACAAACCGATTGTACTTTGCTGGTCAACAATTGTCTTTTGAACGGGGAGCAAAGCCCATGGGATATCCGGGCTTGGATTGAAGAATGCAAAGCAAAGCTGGCCCAACTTGATTTTATGAGTCTAACCTATTGCCCAGGAGAGGCAAATAAGCTAGTAGATTGGGCGGTTAAGGCCCAGCGGAAAAAAGAACTCCCTCCTAATTGATTGTCTTATTTCCTAAAACCTATGTTGGATATTGGGAAAATGACACAAATAGTCCCTGAATTTTGACTCAATATACAATTTGATCCCTAAATTTTTAATTTGTTCAATGTAATCTCTGAATTTTAACCCAATGTTCAATGTGGTCCCTGAACTTTCAATTTGTTCAACGTGGTCCCTAAACTTTTAATACATATTCAACATAGTCCCCGAACTTTAGTTTAATGTTCAATGTAGTCCTTCCATTAATTCAAGTTCAAGGACTATATTGTATATTTTCATATAGTTCAGGGACTAAATTGAACATGTACTAAAAATTCATAGATCACATTGAACAAATTGAAAGTTTGAGAACTACATTAAATATTAGACTAAAGTTCGGGGATCACATTGAACAAATTAAAAGTTTAGAGATCAAATTGCATATTAAGCTAAAGTTTAAAAATTATTTGTGGCATTATTCCTTGGATATTTTATGACGTTAACGATCTTTAGTGGAGTTAATGAGATTTTTAGTATTACCGACAAAAAAACAAAAAGTGAAAGGACTACGGAAACAGGACTTTCAATGTTAAAGTTACAGCGAGGATCTTTCATCGCAATCGAATCAGGTATGGTCTAGTCAACGTCCTCCACCTCAATTGGCTGGGACTGAAGAGCGTTTTTTGGGGAGAAGGTGAAATTGAATTCAATTCCTCTAGAGTTTAGCCTAGACAGTAGGAACAGACTGACCAGATGGTGCAGCTTCACGTGGATTTACATTTCACTTTTCCTCTGCATTCACAACGTCAACTGACTCCCGCTGGTAAAGACTGAAAAATGGGAGCAGATTCGGAGCCAACTAATTTAAAGTGAAACTGACATCCATGCAGGCAGTAATAAATTCCTCTGAAGCAGCGCAAAATACTCAAGAGACTTTCATAAAAAGTAGATACGTTTTGTATATACAGGGGGTGTTTGGGTGGGCTTTGCTAAGGAGCTTTGAGCTTCCAAAGTCCTTTGGGGGAATTATTTTGTGTTTGGCAAATCATTTTTGGAGTTCTTTGGCCAAATGCTGGCCTTCTCAAGGCTGAAAGCTCAAGGCACCCCTTAGGGTGCCCAGAATGCTAATACCCCATTTAATGAAAATATATTTGTTGCCTTTTTCGCCCTTAAAATTTGTCCAAAACCCACTTTTGCCCATATAAAAAAAGAGAAGCCCCGGTCTTCACGCTCACCTCACCTTGCTCACCCCGCTCACCCTCACTCGACTCGCGACACCTCGCTCGCCGACCTCGCCTCACTCTCCGGCCTTGCGTCGCCTCCTCTCCGGCCTCGCGTCGCCTTGCTCACCGGCCTCGCGTCGCCTCCTCGCTCGTCGACCTCCCTCGCTCGGCTTGCCGCGACTCAGGAACAATTCTTCCTTTTTGCTTCTCAGCTGCATGCGAGCCAGCGAGGTTGCTCGGAATCGCGAATCGCTGCCTTCTTTCTAGGTAAATCGAAGCTAAAGATCGTTCCTTTACTCGGGAATACCGTGGCGAAGCCGATCGGCGCGTCGTTTCCTCACTTTATTTGGCTTGCTTACTGGTGGTAGTGAAGTGGGGGTGGGTCGTTTGCCTTCGGGTTTGTCGTGGGTCGGTTCGTTGCTTCGTTTGGCGAAGTGGGTGTGCATGGTCGGGGGTCGATGTGATGAGGCTGAGTCCGTTTCTTGGTCGCCCTTTTGGTGTGTGTTTTGAGGGTTTTTTTAGCTGCTTCGGCACTGTTTGGTGCTGATGTGTGGGTTGAAATGTTGTGCTGTGCTGCAGTCTGCTGGCTTGTGTGGGCATTTCGGTGGCTGATGATTGTATACCCTTCATCAAGTGCAAGTGGGATGGCTTCGTTTCGCGAAAAATAAATAATTTAAAAAATATTTTATAAATAATAATTACTTATATAAGTTATGAAAATAATTGAATGGAAATTTTTTTCATTGTTCATAAAAATAGTTAGGCATAGATTGTGAAAATATTTTCCGTTGACTAATTTTTCTAAACGATATAAATAATTATTTTTCGAAAAATATTTTTCAAATTACTTATTTTTCGCGAAACGAACGTATAATAAAAGAAAAAAAATGTAATTTCTATTCATCCAACAAATATATATGATCACGCATAAATTATACTCGAGTTTTTATCAATCGCCAATACTTTTGAGGTCAATAAATTTGTGCCCACAATAATATAATGTGACTTTCTTCCTATGTCCATAAGTAACGTTTCACATAAGTAAAGATTAATCTCTATTCAGTAAAGCTCAAGAAGCCAACTTATAAAGAACGTAACTAATAAAGAAGTGGTTTGGAACTTGGCCCAAGAAGAACGAACGTGGCTGTATTTTTATATGCTCAAACCAAACGAAACCCCCACATGATGCTAACTTAATTAGACAAGAAACCGAATCCCGCAAGTTATGAACATGTGTTGGAGATGTAATCCCCCGTGTTTGTTTATACGTGTTATTATTAGATAAAGACGATCTTTTCCTGGTCAGTTCGCTATCATCAACCTGTCCAGACAAAACCCCTTAAGGTTACAAACGACCTTAAAACTCTGAAAAGTCGCGTCTCAGACGTTTCATAGACTTCCCTTTGAATTCTCAGCACAGAGAGAGAGAGAGAGAGAGAGAGGGAGGATGGCAGTTGGGATTTTGGAGGTGTTGCTGGTGAATGCAAAAGGCCTTGGAAACACTGATTTCTTTGGTAACCTTTTCTTCTTCTTCTCGCGCATCATCAATCATAGATAACAAAACAGAAGTTGCACGCAGTTGTTGTCTTCTTGATGAACTCTCTCTCTCTCTCTCTCTCTCTGAACACACACACACAGTGAAGACAGCATCTGAGATTGATACGGTAATTGTTATAGCTAGAGTTTATCATCCTGGATAGCTTCTCTTTTATCTCCCTAGCAAAAAACAAACGCCTCTCTTTTATTTATTTATTCGGTTTTCTCAATCTGTAAATCAGTTTTCCTCTGGTTGCAACTTCTGTCCCACCCCAAAATATGGACACAGTAAATGGAAAAATTGGAAAACTGAAGAGAGGCCCAATTTCGAAGATTTTGCAGGAGTTGATGTGATTTCTTGCAAGATTGGGACCGTGTTCGTCTGCATTTCTGCCCTTGTTTGCATTTTTTTTTTTAATTCCGGAAGAATTATTCTCACTTTAATTATTATTTTGGAGAAATGGGCAATGGCATGAAATCGCCAAAATCTTAAGCAAACTTCAAATCAATCCAGGAACTTCAAAACACTGCCTGGATGCCTTTCAAACTTCTAAATTGCATCTCCATTCAGCCATTTTATTTATGTAAATATTTTGTGTCGGATTTTATATGCCTTCTAAAATTTGACCACAAAAGGAAAAAATTTTCTTCAGACAGGGAAGTAAATTTCGTCAGTTATGGACGAGGTTTTTAAGGGAGAAACAACTAATACAGTGTAGTTGAGGGGCTGAATTGCAATTTTATGAAATGACTCTAACGTTTCTCTTGGACCACTTCGGGTGGGTCTACATTGAATAATCCTACCCGAAACTTTAAGGTCTTTTACGTTATTTTCCCTTTTTTTTTTCTTTTTTTCTGTGTTTATGAAATTTAGTGCATAAGGATGGAAAATGATAAATCTACTTATGACACTGACAATAATTCCCATTAATATTTGATGGAAGAAAAGCGTGGACATTTTTATTTTTCACTAATTGAGAATACAATAAATTCCTCAAATTGTATGGCATTATAATTTTTCTCTTATTTTCCCTTTGTTTGTTTGAGATGGCTTAATAGGTAAGGTGGATCCCTACGTTTTGGTTCAATACAAGACCCAAGAACGCAAAAGCAGCGTCGCCAGAGGTAAGAGCCAAAAGAATCTTCCCCCTTTTGTCCAGAAGAATTGAATTGACTAGTAATTTGAATCGTCTATCATTTTTCCACACATTGAAAATCGTTCATTTTTTTCGTAAATAAACAAACGGAGCCTAAATGACAATTGAAAGGATCTGGCGATCCCACTTGGGCATTGGTATTATCTATCGCCTAGGAGCTGATTGGAATTAACACATTAAAAATGTGTTGTTGACCAATTCTCATGGGAGGACACAGCTAACCCAGTACATGGAAAATGGTGGGGGGCATCTTTAATTGGGTCAACCATGTGAAAAGGAAGACATAGTCCTATGTTCGACTATGTGAATATTCATATAATGCATGCCTTAAGTTTTTTTTTGTTTATTTGTCCTTTGTTATGCTGAATAATAGTGTTATTTTGAATGATTCTATTCAATGTCGTGGCCCGCACAGCAATATGGTCTCATAGCTTAGCTGCGTTCATTCTTCCATGAGTTGAAGCCACCCTCGATATGTACTAAAGAACCGTCGCAAAAGGAAAAAAAAGAAAGGGAAATTGAACCAACTAGACTAATTAATTGGGGGCATATGCTATTTGTCAGCTGCTTTTACTTCTTCACAAATTTGACCTGTACTTAGCATTTAGGGATAAGTGCATTGGAAATCCTATGACTTATCATGAAAGTGTAATTGAGTCTTAAAATTTTCTAAAACTGCAAACAAGTTCTAAAACTTGTCAAATTGGTCCAGTCAAATTCTTCCGTTGATTGCACTTTCGTGACAAGTTATAGGGCTTTCGGTGCCGTTATCCCTAGCATTTATGAATTTTTGGAGGAAACAAAGGTGTAGAGAAACGAGTTGTTTAGGAATTGAAGGTGAAATTGATAAAATGGTGAAGCAGGGCAGGGAAGTAATCCGTCATGGGGAGAGAAGTTCACGTTCCGGGTGGAGTATCCAGGACCAGGTGACCATCATCAGTTCAAGCTCAACCTCAAGATCATGGACAAAGACACCTTCTCCGCTGATGACTACATTGGAAGCGCGACGTGAGTTCTTCGATATTTGCCACAGAAAGAACGAAATCTCAGTTTCTAATTAGAGCCAATTGATCTTTACTGCGCAATGTCGGTTTTGATCGAGAAGTGAAAATAAATTACCTGTCGGTTCTTTCTTTCTCTTTGAATGGTTAGCATATTTCTGGAGGACTTGCTGGCACTAGGAGTGGAGAACGGGATCGCCGAGCTGCATCCGAGCAAGTACCGGGTGGTCCGGATGGACCAGTCCTACTGCGGAGAGATCCAAGTTGGCCTAACATTCAATTTAAGGGTATTCACTGATCACATCCTCTCTCGCGGATCTATAAAACTTTTTTCTTTCTGATCTCGATAGAACTTAAATTTTCTCTTCATAAGACCAAGGCAAAGTACCGCAATTTTACATCGGATGTTTAAACTAGTATGGGGACGCATACGCAAGATCGATCGGCTTGCAGAAGTTTATCTCGATTGAAATAGTCCATGGTTACACTAGTTCGACACTAATTTTATGTGTTGGGATTTGTAGGAGGAGCCGAAGATCAATGAAGAGTACGGAGGATGGAGGCAAAGCGAGTATTAGTCGACAGCGATGTCCATGTGTGATCTTTTTCCTTTTCTTCTGTTGTTTTGTTTATGAACGTGCGGATCATGAGCTGCAGCTTTTCAGGACTTGAAATGGAGCCCCTACTTTTTTATACTTCTGCCCAGAATTTCCAGGTTGTCTTTCTTTACATTGTTCTTCACGAAGCAAACTCCAGGAGAAACACATGAGATAATTTCTCCGAAACTAAGGGTGAGTATGGCTCCATGATAGAACCGGGAACCGGAGCACCTGTTCCCGGAGCACCGGACCAGTTCTGGGATATGCAGAGTAGGTTTCTGTATCAAAAAATTGGGGAACCAGTTCTGACAAGCTAGAACCTAGAATGAGTCGTTGTGTTTTTCTTTTTTTGTCTTCGCGCAATCTTACGGTATTCCATGGCGTTCGATGATGAGTATGTAATTTAAAGCCACTAATTTGAGCTTCCATTTCTGGAGATATCCATGACTGAGGATTTTACTTTGTTAATGTTTCATATTCTTCGGGTATCTAAATATGAGTTATGATCAGTGAATTGCAACAGCAAATGGTTATCATTAGAGGTGATCCATTGCAATCATTCAATTAAGAATATAAGTGAAATATGGGTAGATCTTGGAATCTATAACAGGGTAGGTTTTAGGCTCCAAAGTATGCAAGATAGGTTTTAGATTCCAAAAATTTAAAAACCGATTTCAACGGGTAGGTTCTAAGTTCTAAGTAGAACCTTGATCAACCCTGAAACCGCTCATCCCTATCTGGAATGACTTACACGATGGATCATACTGCTGGGATCGATTGCGGTAGCATTTTTCTGCGTTGCGCTTTCATCCCGCCTCGTCTATGACTTATGGAGCAAACATTGCAAATCGAGGTGAACGCATGGACGAGGTCGAAGCTATGCCGAAGGATGACTAGGGAGATAGGCTGAAGCTGAAGCTTAACGGGACAATGACCACAACCAAAATGCTTAAAGTACCAATCCGTTGCTGCAATTCAATAAAAGATGGGACCTCATGGAATACATCATAATAAGGTTTCCTTAGCTCAAATTTCGAAAAGTACGATCAAGATCAACTTCTTTCATCGTTCCCAGGAGCAACCTCACGTTTCACCTGAAAATGCGTGACCTTGGCGTTTTCGGTTCATTTACCAACTCCCCAATCACGGCTAAACTAAATGAGTTAGAAAGAAAACCTCTCGTAAGCTTTGTTATAAATAAAATAATATGTGGAAAAGTAACAAAACACTGCCGTCTTAGCTCAGCCGGTAGAGCGCATGGCTTTTAACCATGTGGTCGTGGGTTCGATTCCCACAGACGGCGATTTATTTTCCTCCTTCCTTTTTTGTTGTTCAATTTTTTGTTCTTTGTTCTTTCATAACTACAGAGTGAATTGTTCATTGATTCTGGTCATCAACCACGGGTGTCGTGTCGTACAATACAATGTGTTTGTGCCTGTTTGAGTCTGACGAACGAGCAATACTTTGCCGATGACCTTTTGGGAGTTACTTCTCATTATGTCTTCTTCTAGGCTGAAGCCTGAAACACCGGAATTCACTGCTGACGGTTCAGTCAGAAGTGCATCCAGTGACCAAAACTATCAGTACTAATGCCGTTGATTAGTATTCTCAGGAGCATTAAACAAGTTTTACGTAAGAAAACCTATGATTCTTTAGTCCGCATCTAGCAAAAACATGTGCAGCCAAATCGCAGATTCCACTGACTTATTTCCTTCTCTAGTTCACCCCTTGATGATGCGCCTTTCCAATTGAGCCCCCAATTGAGCCCCTCTTGCCTCCGAAACGAGCGTGATCACCCAGCATATGCCCATATAAATTGCGATCAGCCATTGATGTAATGAAATGTCTTTAAACAATAAAACTGAATTTCGGATAGCGCAAAACAAATATGTATCCTTACAAACATATGCCATGTGAACCTCCTCCATAAGATTGCCATATCACACCTTGGGTGAAGTTAACATCTTGTACTCCAACACAAACAAACAAAAAAGTAAAATGGGAGCATTTCTTCTTTACAAAAAAGAATGGAGGCAAAAAATATCGTCAAGTTCCTTGCAGCCAGTTCAATATTGTAAGATAGCCAAAAAAAAAAAAAAAAGCAAGCTCCAGCCTACACCATCTACAACCCCAAAACACAAGACAAGCGAAAAATAACATGAGAGAGAACTGAGGCCCTCCAGTTAGAGCAGTAAACCATGAAAGCAATTGAAAGATCAGAACGACGATTGTAATTTCCTTTATGCCAACCCGAGTTAATGATGAACAACTGTATGATCCAACCCTCAAAATCCAATTAGGGGTGATGGTGTGGGGATTCACTCAAAAAATTTACCACCCTGTTCAAAAGATTCAACCCAAATACTGTTTCTTCACAATTGACTTTAACCGCTAAATTTAGTGGCTCAGAACACTTACCTTCTACAATTACAGTAATTAAACAAGGAAGAGACTTGCTCAAGATCTTACAGCCAAATCGCAGGTGCAAACCCGTCGCATCATCGAGCTTGGTATCAACTGGCATGTCCACAGATACCAAGGATAGATTTGCATTGCTGAGCATCTTCAGCACTAGGCTCTCACAAATTAGAAGGAATTTATCTTTCACTGTGTCACCATCCTTGTCCTTGTTTAGCTCATCAATGTGGTCGTTAAAAGTGCACCTGTTGCAACCGATGATGGAAGGTGTATCTGATATTAGTTAGTAGCCCAACTCATGAGGATGAGGAGGTGAAAATGCCAGCAAAGAAGATTAAAGTTAATAAATTGTTTCTCGTTATAAACTTCAGACAAAAATACTGACCCTCTCATATATTCAAACATTCCTCTAAGATGGGATTCCTTGTCTGTGAAGGCTTCTAAATCCAGCGGAAGTGGTTTGACAAAGTACCCTATATCGGGGCGCAACTTCACAGGAACCTTCTTGCCATTGTACAACAATGCAAGTTTAAGAGGCAATAAATGGTGATGGAAATGAACTTGCATAATCCTTTTTAGCGTGTCACCAGGTTCCAGAGAATTGATCTCTTCCATAGGAACTAAAGTTGGTATGTCACTGTTGGACGTTGAGAAACTGCAAACCAAGAGTAGATATTAGCGTTTGAAAGCATAGAGATATATGAAAAAAGAAATTAATGCAATAGAATTTCAGGGTTCCTGGACAAATGGTTCAAAACGTTGCCTAGAACATTGGAAAGAAATGTTCGACACGTTGCCTAGAACAATGGACAGAAAGTTGAACAATTTCAGGGTTCCTGGACAGAAAGTTCGACACATTGACTAGAACATTGGGGAGAAATGTAAGCTTTTGCTTCTTCTTCTTCTTCTTCTTCTTCTTCTTTTTTGTAAACAAGCTTTTGCTAAGTCAATAGATCAACTTTCAAATGGGTGAACACTGTTAAGATGGGTGAACAAACTCCAACACTGTTGAGATGGGTGCACAAATCAGAGTGTTTCAGGACATCTCTCAAAATTAAGTGGAAGAATACAAGAAAAAAATTTCCAACCATGGAGCATTAGTCCATTGAAAAAAAAATACTACCTAACGTACATGTGAGAGAGAGAGAGAGAGAAAGCGAGAGCAGAATTTGCACTAAGCATGACAAGTCGATGGTACGTGAACGATGGTACAGTTAACAGATATGGACAAACAGATAACTAATTCACCTTTCAGGAGCAGACACTAGTTGATCAGCAGAATTCTGTCCGTTGCTGGATTCCTCTTCCACTAAATTTACTACTGTCATGGACTCTGCAGAACAATTCTTGAAGGAAACTTCAATGCATACAAGGAGAGGTGATACGCTTGGAACTTCTGATGAAAATGAATATTCAACTTTCAACCCATTTCCATTTGCTGGGTCTAAGAGCATGTAGATTTTAGGTTTGACTCGCTGTCCAATGTTCCCAAAACTAATTCTTGCTGAAGATCTACGGACTCGATTTGAATGCGATACACTCGTGTTTGATGATCCAGGCTGCTCACCTAACCATGATTCAAGAGCTGTCTTTGATATTAAATCACCCATATAGTCATTCCCAGTCTGTGGAGCTACATTCTCATTTCCAATATCAGAAATTTGTATCAGAGGACCAGCATTATTATCTTCTTCACTAGCGGAACCACTTTCAGAATTATAAACATCACTGCCAGAGCCGGTCACAGAAAGCTGAGAGCTGTAATTTGAAGCGCTTCCTTCATCTGAAGATCCATCAGAAGCATCAAAATCATCCATCCCAGTGGTACCACTATCTGCAGCCCCATCTCCAGGCATAGTTTTTCCATTAGCACTTGATATCTGATCCAGGTCATCCTGGAGCAAACTGCAAGGCTTTGGAAGAGGCTCATACCCAGGAGCTGCATGGAAAACAATCTGTGAAAGCGACCCAGGGAGATAAAATCGGCTGTTTAGTGGCTCAGGAGAGACTGACTTTAGTTTGCCCCCAAATATGTGCTCTGAAATTACAGAATGCAGGTTTTTATCTTGTGGCAAACATTCTGCTTGTGTCTCTGAAAGGCAAGTGCCTATATTGCAGTCCAAAAGCTTTTTGAGAAAGCGAGCTCGGTCACGAATATCATAATTTGCATCACATTCAGCCAAATCTAGCACAAAGGCAAAAGTCTTTCTAATTATCAAATGATCTTTCCCTGTAGCACCTAACAAGACCTGCAGAGAAGGTACATGATTGATCCTCAGCATACTTATAGCGCTTAGTAAATAAACCAATGTATAGACAAGGTAAAACAGGTCAAAGGAAGTACATATACTGAAGCAATCACAGAGATCAACAGGTGATATACATACTGATGGAGTAAGCATTGCTTCTGGTCTCCAAATATGCCTGTTTTCCAAAGATACAAGACAAGGATTTTCAGGTTGCAATTTTCAATTTGCAACTTGTCACTTCAATTGGATTGACAGCCTTGATATACCAAGTAAAACAGGTCATGCAAGCCAAGAAACTTCAAATTTCTCAGCCTTTGTTATTTTGCTTCATATGAATGACTATGCTCTCATCAAGACAATCAAACTTATGACAGGAAGAGAGACAAAGTTTAATATGTTATAGCCCAAAGGAAATAGTTACTATCTTAGATCCTGAGCATGA